ATGGACTGGGTATTTGAAAACATTTAAAAATTACTGGTAATTTTGATAGATGTGATAATGGCATTCTGATTGTTCTTAAAAAGCCCTTATTTGTTAGATAAGTTAATTAAATTATTTATCAGTGAAATAACATAATGACTGGGATTTGTTTTAAAGTATAGCCCCAAATAATGAAAATTAAAAACCAAAGTAGATGAGAGTATAGACAAGTTTGGAAAATGGTAACAATTGTGAAAGCTCTTCCAGCGGCATGCTGGGGAGCAGAGCTGACTGTCAAAGACTTTGCCAACAGGTGGCTAAACCACTGATAGCTTAAAATTGGTCATGATGGAGGTATTTACACAACAGAACTTACCAAATGCTACAAATGTGGGCTTTGTTAGCAGCATACCATTGAAACTGGGTAACAGGTACATGGGTTTATTACACTAGTATGCTAACTTTTGTGTAAATTTGAAAACTTAAATAGTTAATTTTTAAGTCTAATTTATTTTTTGGACTTTAAAAAAAAACTATTATTTCATTTTCAAGACATTTAAGACCTGAAATTTGGCCCTATTTTAATTTGCATATAATTTCCCACCATGGTCTCCTCTGAGGCTCTGCAATTAAATCACTCCAAGCCTTCACACATACCCAAGCACCGCATTGTGGTCTCAGCCTTCATCCACACTTCACCTGCTCTGGAATAAGTCCACCGCCTCACTTTCTTCTCGCCCATCCTGGCAGGTACAACAAGACCTCCGCCGGGAAGACTTCCCTGCTTGTTCCATAGACATATAATTTCTTCTACATCTGAATTTTTAATTAATTTATTCTGCGCTTCTCCAGTGGAAGAAAACAATACCTCACTGTGCATTTCAGGCATACAAGGCTACCTTCACATGCATTGTCTCATCGATGCCCATACTCTCTGTGAAATAAGCTGCACAACTCCTTTGCTTAATAAAGTAAATCAAGATGAAAGACATTAGGTAACTTCATTAGGGTCACAAAGCTAACATTGGTGGCAGAACATTCCAGAACTGTCAACATCTGGGGAAGGGTCTGTGCATAGCTGGGAGCTCCACAGAAAGGTCTTCCATGGATGCCTGTTGAATGAAATGGCAACTGAGTGACTGAAAGTTCTGTTTTCTCTGCACTAAAACATGTTTTCCTGTGTGTTCTAGTTTACTGTCTTCTCACCTTCCACCACAGTGTGCCCTTGACCATAGTAGCAACTGACATTTTAGAAACTCATTAAAAATAGCCGCCCTTCATAGGTAGCTACTACACTTGCCCCGCACTTGAAATAATACTCCACTTTTCCTAAAGGAAGTATCCTATTCTCTGAGACAACAGAGGGTTTATGTAGCAGGTGAGGACCCAATCCTTTAGTCTGTGCTTTCCCCTGTGGGGGGCGTTCTTTGTCACATCACTGTTCTGACACGGTGGCTGGGCATGCAGGACATGCATCTGAATGTGGTGCCCATGCTATGGCTATCTCCTTACCACATCCCCCACCTCGTAAGCATGTGCACAAGTATGTGGGCATCACCCACGGACACTTTACTGCAAAGTTTAAGTAGCCTGCACATTCTTGTAGGCACTGAGAAATAAAAGTAAATAAATAAATAAATGCCAAGAAGCTTTGGATGCTCTTTGTATCCTGGATGAAGGCACTGGATCCCAGCATTTGCCTTGGATTGCTCCTGGAGATCTCAGCCTGCAAAAGGAATGGGATGTCCAGCAAGAGGGGACTAGTAAATGAATGACGGTACTAACAACTAGTGCAAGCATGGCTAGCTGCTAGATTTTCCAGTGTTGTGGAAAGCATGCAAACCAACAAAAAATAAGGTAACAAAAAAGCATATAAAATATGACCATTTAAAAAAAATAGATGTGTGTGCCTATGTAGAACAAAGATTGGAAGACTATACGCCAAAACGTCATTGTGTATGTTTCAGAGGTGAAATAATAGGGTATTTTCTTTCTTATGGTTTTCTGTATATTCCAAATTTCTACAACAGACACTTACAACTTTTATATTAGAGGAAAAAACGAATAAAAGAAAAATGCAGAGGAAAGCATATAGTTATTGGGCTTTTACTAAAGAGAATTAAATGTCAGCTCTTATTCCTCTTAGGAATGGAGGGGACTGGTCCGACAAAAAGAAGTGAGGGTTCTCATTTCCAATAATGCACAGGCTTAGAAAGGAGGGTACTCAAGTGTGTCTGTTGCTTCAAAAGGCAAGAACAGGATGTTAGAAAGTAAAAGGAGATGTGTTTGGAGGTAGAAGAGTCAGGGTGGGTTAGGTGTGAATTTGAGAAGCTTTTCCATCTGTGCCTTTAAAACTTGCTGAGAATAGTACCCGCCTACCAGCACCAGGCCTGACTCTAGCAGAAGCTCTACCCTGTGGCCCAGAGGCCGGGCTCACCAGTCTCTGGGGAGACCACCCCCCGCTAAAACATAATACCTTAGAAAAACGGGCTTTCAGGCTCATCTTGAAAAGTTATGTGTTTATTTCCAGGAATGAGCATGGCATTTTTAGTAACCAATAACCATGAGGAGAAAGGCAGCTACTCACTTCCTTACCTTCCTCTTCTCCATCTGGATGCGGAGAGAAGACAGAGACAAATGAACAGAAAAGCCAGCTCAATACAGACTCGACTCTACACACATTCAAAATCATCGAAGATTTTGTAACTATCTTCCTTAAGAGTCTAAAGCAGGAACAAGCATCAAGAAAAACAAACAGAAAACCTCTACATTCAAGTGGAAAGTGGGCACTATGCAAAAGCTGAGAGGACAGATAGCTATCCCTGGGAGGGGTCCTCAGGGAGTCCCCTCCTGCCAGTCAATGATGGGTCCTGGAGGGGAACACACCCATGAATTATGGTGTGGGACTCAGTTTCATCTAAAACCCAAAGAGAACAGGGGAAACATAACAACAGAAGCCAGCAGTTTGGTGCAGTGGGGCTGGAGGGGGCAGTGCAAAGCCTGTGGACAGCTTTCTGTTTCTGTTTTAAAAAGCACCCAAAAGGGTGGTGTTGACCAGAGACACATCTGAACCTTTCACTAGAGAATTAACTTTGATCTGGGCATTACACCCTGGCCACAAGTTTCCCAGGACTTCCTGGCCTCAAGAACAGGCATCCTGAGGAGTGAAAAATATGTATTTATGCTTCTAGCCTCAGGGGGATGACACACAAATGGAATAACATGGAAGGGCTGAACAGAACCAGAGGAGCGAGCCATCTGCACTGGAAGCTGTGGGGCTGGCTGTGGGGGAGCCTGGGAGCTGCCTTTCTAGGATCATGCTCTCAAATGTTATGCACGAACCTTAAATATATCTAAATTCTCCTTCACTGGAAAGTTCGCTCTATTAGTTTAAATCTAATATCTAAAAGTGTAGGTCAACAAACATGGACAGAACGTGTTCAGCTCAGAAGGAAACCATGCCAAAACCACGCACACACACACAGCTCCAATAAAGTCAGTCTCTACCGGGTGTCCTTTTCAAGCAGTAAAATGGCACCACACAATTTTCTTTAATGTTATACATTTTCAGATTAAAACAAAATAATTAGCTGGCATTGCCACCATGTATGAGCGTAGTGCAGAGGTGAGTGGGGTAGGTGGTAAATGTGGATTTTCTTTTGTTTTTGTTTCACATTCCCTTAGCCAAACTGGAAGTTTGCGTAAACATGTGAATAAGTAATTAATTAACAGTTTTCGATGGTTGACAAAAAAGGCTTACTGGCCACGTCTGTCTAAAAACTCACTACTTTCCAGACAGGAGGATCAACAAGACGAGATGACAACACCCCACACTGGTGTGTGAATCCATCTTTGATTCCCACCAATGAAGCCCTTGATTCTGTGAATTCTCTTCCTCCAGCCTCCCACTGTCGCCTGTTCCTAGCTCTCTGTGTGATCTGGGGCCACTGTGCATCAGGACTGGGTCCTCAGGTTCCTCAGCAGTGAGAGGGTACACACAGGATGTGGCTCACCTGGGAGAAGGGTAGGGAGGATGCAGTGGGCTCCTGGATGTGAAACACCTTTAAAGAAGAAAATGTTCCCAAATATATGAAACTCCTGCAATTAGAAAAGTATTTGCTGACCCCTGGAAGTTCACTGCCATTAGCTATAATGTATTTTCCCACAAAGGTACAGCACTGAGACCTTGAGGCAGGCACTGAGCTGAAGGGTGACAGAAAGTTTCATTTTGCAAGGGGGACAGGGCAAGGGCCAAGTCCCCTAATGATCACCTTTGGATTTATCTTTCTTTATGTATACGTTCTACCTATACTGGGCTCTGTGTGAGCAAACAAGGGCTTTTGTATAGCTGGGATTTGTATGTGTCTTGGTATTTATATGTTTGTGTATAGACTCCTTTTCCAGAGACAGGGAGGATGATGTCCATCTTCACCCCTGCAAAAAAGTCTCCAGAAAGCCCTTGCCTACACCCTCACACAGTTTGCCCATAGTAACCTCCAAACACCACTCTGGCCAGAGATAACAGCGGCCCATTTCCTGACCAAGATCAGCCAACCTCAACTGTGTGCCTCTGCAGGAGTCTGAGATTAACTTGGCTGTCAGGCCTTGACTGTGAGGCATTTGCCACAAAGATTACAGAAATGTGAGTGTCCTGTCCAAAAAGAGAGAAATACAGGGGAGAACCCCAACCCCATCCCACCCTCTGCCGCCTTTGGTTTAACCCTTTCCTAAGCTGAATCCCCAACACTTAACATTCCGAGCATCTTGATCTCTATACATTTTTCCACTATACAATATTAGGAATGAAAGAGCCAAAAGAGGTGGTTTTGTCCATGCTGGAATGAGAGGAGCTGGAGGAGGAGAGAAAGCTACCAGGTCATTCTCACAGTTAGCATTTCGAGGGAAAGAAGCTAGAAATCCAAGGTTGGGATTTCTGTCCTGGCCCCAAGGGTGCTTGTTGACCACCAAACTGTGGAGCATTTCACTCTTCCAAACTTCATAAGAGCATCAGTGGAACTTACCTGTGGCTGAAATCCTTTGAGGTCACTGGCTGCAAGGTCACTGGCTGTGAGGAGCTGGAAAAAAACAAAGAAATTTTCTCAGTGACACTTTTCAGTTTGCATACAGTATCCCCATGACAACTGACCAGCAATGGACTTACCATAGCCTGGATGAGAGCTACAGAAGTGGGATTGCAGAAGACAAATGTGAGATTTCTGGACCGGGAATCTAGGCTCAGTGGCCTTCCCACCTTGTGCTCCATCTCTGACTTCACCACCTCTCTCTTGCTGCTCTCTCTAAATTATTTCTATGTGCTATCAGTTGTTCAGAGGCTCTTAAATTAGGAACCATGGGCTATGGATGGAGTTCATCAGGTCCATGGCTCCCTGAAATTGTAAGTATGTGTGAATCTATAGATGTATATATTTCCTTAGAGAGAGGGGCCCTGGCTTTCTTCCTGCTATCAAAGTGGTCTGTGATACAAGACTTACTGCTTCAGAAACAAAGGTCCATCTCCTCTAAGAGGGTTTTTCCTTCCTTCCTTCCTTTCTTCCTTCCTTCCTTTCTTCCTTCCTTCCTTCCTTCCTTCCCTCCCTCCCTCCCTCTCTTTCTTAGATGGAGTTTCACTCTTGTTGCCCAGGCTGGAGTGCAGTGGCATGATCTCAGCTCACGGCAACCTCTGCCTCCCAGGTTCAAGCGATTCTCCTGCCTCAGCCTCCCAAGTAGCTGGGATTACAGGTGCCCGCAACCATGCCCAGCTAATTTTTGTATTTTTAGTAGAGACGGGGTTTCTCCATGTTGGTCAGGTTGGTCTCGAACTCTCGACCTCAAGTGATATGCCTGCCCTGGCTTCCCAAAGTGTTGGGATTACAGGCATGAGCCACTGTGCCTGACCGTTTTTTCTTTATTAAAACAAACAAAAAAATGAGCTCAGTAAAAATGACCCTCTCCTCTTCACAGCTACATGTGACTCAGTTTCCCTTTGTCATAGGCTGCCAATGATTTTATACACTATTTAGGTTTTTATCATTTATGCTTCAAACAATCATACACAACATAAAAGAGTAAGAGTCAGTTATATGGACTTTCTGCACCTCTGTGTTTAATCAATATTAAAGACTAAAGTTAAGGTTTTAAATATTTTTGCATCCTTTCCAGGGTTTTGTACCAAAAAAGTTAAATAAAAATAGAGGATTAATTAGTAAAATAATCACATTCTTATAATACATGCTGGGAAAGTGTAAGATAAAGAGAAAAAGGGCAGATGCTTATTTTGATTCAAGGAGGGTGACTGCTAGCTTTGTTAGGCCTGGAGAGCATTTGTGAAAAATAGAAAAGACTTCATGTTTGCTGTAACAATGTTTTGTTTGGGTCAAGAAAGAGAAGAAGTCATGCTGAGCCCCAGGGCCTCCAGCCTTCGGAAAAGCTCAACTGGATTTTTTAGCTTCCTTAAATGACTGCCATAAATGGTGCTGAAGTGATGTTGAAGCTAGGATCCAGCAGAAGAGAGGTGGAGAAGGTAAACACTTTGCTGTTCCCCAACCCCACATTCCCCATCCTGCAGGCTAGATTCCCCCACGTGGAAGGTGTCTTGGTGGCAGGCAGCACCATCCTGGTGGAGAGCTGGTTTGACCCCTCCGATTGTAATGAAACAGCCAAGTCACAACCCATTAGGCCACATGCTAGGAATTAAGGGTGAAATGTAATGATAGACTTAGTCCCTGCCTTCAAGAAACCTATAGTTTGGTGGAAGAATCAGACATGCAGACACGTGTACATCAGTGGGAGCAGAGTGTAGTCGAGTGTGAGCATCAAACTGGGGAAATGAAGCAAGAGCAGTCAGGGTGGGCTTGTTGAAATAAGATGGAGCTTGCATTTGGCCTTGAATTCACTGGAAAGGTGGTAGGGCAAGGCACTTCAGGTGCGAGCAGGTGCAAGAGCAAAGATGTGAAAAAGGAAATGGCCAATCCTGACACACCTCCATTTGCATCTGTTAAGTGCCAGCCATAGCCTACCTTAAGGAGAAAGGTAAGGAATTAGGATACATTGAGGATCACTTGGGTGGCTGGCATTCTGGGTGCTGCTTTATGCAATTTTTCATTTTTAATATTCACAACTCCTCCATGAGACAGAAGGTATCTCCTCTTTTCTGATGGGAAAATTGAGACTTATGGAAGCTAAGTAACATTTTCTAGGTTTCACAGCCAGTACATGTATTTGGGATTTAAATCCCCAACTATATTTTCCCAAAGCTCATGCTTTTTCTTCTATAATAAAATGCCTCTGAATTATAGCACACCGGAGACCATTTGTTGAGATGTGGCACAGGAAAAAAGCTGAGTGCCAGAATATTAGTCAAATGAGCCACAGAAAGTAACATAAAACATGCATCCCCACGAACGACCCTTAACTAACTCTTCCTTGCAGAAATGCTTGTATTTAATTGATAATGACCATTTACTCATCTGAGTTTATCAGTAAACCTTTACCTTTAGCTTGAGCTGGGCACAACATTGGGATGCAGCTGGAAAGGAGGGAAAATAAAAGGCTGGGATGAGGTACGGGCATGAGAGTAACCTGTGCAGGAACACGCCCACCAACATGTGTTAGCATATTAGATTCAGAGCTCGAATTCTTCAGACCCTGGGCGTGCAGAAGGCAGAGATCTTCCTAGTTTTGTTTCATGCTGTTGCATGTATTTTTACTCGTCTATTTTTCACCTAACAAGAACATGCCCAACAAGACCCTGTCTAAAAAGACTATGGCTTCTATCTTATGTAAATTTTGCATATCTCAACGTGTTGAGAAGAGTCCGGACATACAATTAGTCACTAAATAACCTGTTTGCCGAATGACTTAAAAGGAAAGTGGAAATATTGTCAGCCCAGAGGTGAGGACCAGAATACCTAAATTGCTGAGCCTAGAGAACAGAAGTGTGAGAAGCAGGCTAAAGATACCTTCCAAGCCAACAAAAGGAAACAGCACTCAGTGCCTAGCACATTTGCTGTGTGAAGCAGGCACTCAAATAATTGAATGAGTTAATCAACTCAGGCACTGGGGACAAGCTCTTCTCCAGCCGCTACAGGTTTTACTAGAAGAATATTGGGTGCTGCTTCAGCGTAGAAATTGGAGGTTAAATTTAAGGAAGAACAGTATAAAAGGGAAAGAAGCTGAATGGTGAATAAATCCATCACCCCTTGCTCTGGTTGAAACAGTAAAATGTTAAATGGGCCCATCCCAGTTCAGATGTGTTAGCGCATCTGATGATGTGTGGGAGGATGCAGGGATATAATGTCAGGGATGGAACTCAAATAACTTCTATCTGGATTCCTTTACTTGGGAGATTCGGAAAGTTTAACTCACAAACTAGCATGCATTGAAGGTGTTATCTGACCTGGGAAACAACCAGAGGCAAGGTTTGTGACATCTCCTCACAATCAGTCCTGAAAACGGTATGTACAACAGTGTGGCTTTCCTCACCATTACGCCATGACCCCTTGCTTTTCTGGCTTTTCTGGCCTTCTGCCTTCTTGGTCTTTCTGAGTTCTAACCACGCTCTAACCAAATGCATGGACTGTTGGGTCAAACATAGGCCCTGCATCTTGAGCACTCCCCTTTTCAAAGCAGATTACTTCCCGTAAGTGTACAAATTCCACACCAAGGGATGGAGAAACAGCTGAACGTCAAGCACTAATATATGGTGCTCAAGTGTGGATTAGAAATAAAGGAAAAGATCACAGACCACCTACATCAGGATATTGCAGAAGAGTTCCATTCTTAGTGTCAGGGTCTTGGGGAGGCAGTTGGAGGCCCCTGGAGAAGAGGAGAAAATCAGTGTGTCCCCAGTGGGCTCAGGAGCCACCTCTGCTGGGAAACTGGGGTGAGAAAACGTGTAGACAAAGGGCTCACACTGTGCCTGTCTCTCTACCTTTACTCAGAGTGGCTCTGCTTTTCCCTGGTTCTTGTATGTGACTTCAGTTGAAAACCAATGTTTGGTACTAAAACATACCTTAAAACTCCAGACTAAGTCCTTATTTTGCAGAAGAAGCTGATAAGTGACATTTTCAAGATCACACTGCTAATTAACAATGGGATTGGTTGAGTCTGCTAACCCGAGCACCTCTGCAGAAACCTCCACTAGAGATTATATCTGTCCAGTTCATCACTGACAACCAGACATAACCGGCTGCTGATTTCTACCCTAAAGCTGGGATAGATTTGCTCAGAAATCCAGGGGAAATTGAAGCATGGGGAGGAAGTATACATGTCCCTCCTCAAAGTCACTGCCTTGAAAAGTGCACATCCCAGACCCTTCTCTACTGCCTCCCCTGCTTGAACCCTATCTCCACTCCATCCCATTGGGAAACAGTTCACTGCTCATGGTAGCCTTGCTGTGTCGGGGGTTGGGGGGGGATCCAAGACAGGGAGGCAGAGAGGGAGGAAAATGAAATCTGCCATGGCCCTAGGGACTCCAATCAGGCTGAAGTTAATGAAAAGGATCCTGTCTTTTCCCAGAATGGCTAAATGTCTGCACCGCTCCCAGCTAGAGGGTCGACAGGGTGTGCGGGGTGGAGAGGGCAGACAGAATTACATTTAAAAGGCAAAGGAAGGAGAAAATTCTTTCATCTCTCTGGTGGAGCCCGGCAGTGTTCCTGGGGCCCTGCTCAGAACAATCTCATTCCTGACACATCTTGCTGCTCTCTGGAACAGTCCACATTCAAAATATTAGGAGGATGACCCTGCCTTCCATTTTTGAGAAGCTGCAGTTTCTTTCTTGGCATAAATTCATGTTGCTTTCTTATTTTCTCTCTCTTTCTCTGAGCTTGAGGGGAGGAATGGAGAACAAGGAGAATTGAAGGGAGATGAAGGATGCTGTGGGGCCCTAAGGAGGCGAGAGTGGAAATCCCTTCAGCTTCCTAAGCAATGACATTCTGCTCCCTTGTCTTTTTCAAACTCTGTTCTCTGAATGGGATTCTCTCTTTGCATCCTACCCAAAATTACCCATGGTACAGCTGCATCCAGCATTCCCTTGTGACCTCTGCAAGTCTAAAGCTGTCCCTTTAAACAGCTGCCC